TGTACTTGAAAAAGAACAATTTGAGAGGACTTATAATTCTCAATTTCAAACCTTACAACTGTATCTCCAGGTGAGGTTAGAGGCCATTTTTAAGTTATTATTGTGTTTATCCTCATTTTTCAAATTCTCTACAATGAATATAACTATTACAATAAGAAAATAAAAAGTAAGGTATCTTTTAAAACATGCACAACGATTCATTCATTGGGAAAAATTATTTTAACTACTAAGAGTTAAACAAATATCTAGTGAAAGAGGACTACTTAAAAAAGAAGAGTGCATTTACATTTTTCATAAATTGAAAACTGAAAAGTACAAATGCATCAAGTTTCTAGGGAGACCAATGCAACATATTAATAGTTATTTTCAAAAATTCTAATTGAACAATGAAAACTCAAGAAAGGGAAAATCGTGATTGACAGCCAACTGCAAGCACATGGGGAGCAAAGGCCTAGAAATCACAGTTCCTTTAAATCTGCTACTAACTCAATAGGAGAGGAAATTCCTCACTGAGGGGACAGTGGAATCCCATGCATAAGACAGGATACACAGTACAAACGGCACTAGAATCGGGGGTGATTTTCTTAGAATTCTGAAGTTACAACATTGCTGAAAAACTATAAAAACACTGACAGACAGATTAAAACACACAGCCATATATATTATATAGAAACATATGAAGTCTGCTCCCATGTTGCATAGAAATACAAACATATATGTTCATTTATAGGCACTGATTACTTTATCCCAGGTAGAATATTTCAACTATAACAAATAATCAATAATACACTCCTCTTGTCAAATCTAGTTGATAAGTTACTCGGCTATGTAACAATAATGTACCTAACATAGATCTAAAATTAGTGAAAAAGATCTTTGCATGATTTCTTGAACTTTATCAAAATTCCAAGCTTAATTTTAAAATAGATCTGAGCAGTATTTCTATATGATCTTTTCCCTCGTGAAATGGACAACACAGTCTGTTGTCAAAATTCTGTCCTTTCAATGATTCACGAAAACTTTATCCTGACAAAACTGCTGGACAGCAAGATACTATCCAGACACTGTGAAAAAACAAATGTAACACAAGGAGACAGTGACCCTATTCTGGAGGGCTTATAATTTTTGCCAACACCGGGGTTTTTCTTTGATTGGTTTGATTGGTTAGAAAAATAAATCACTCAAGTACTTTCTTCTTTGAGCATTCTGTAAGTCATGACTTTCTTTTAAGTGTCATGAGCAGAAAAGACTTAAGCATGATTAGGTCAACTAGCAACAATCATCACTGGAGAGTGAGTAATAAAGAAGTAAATTAGTAGCAATCCTTCTGCCTACATGAGACCTAAAATAAATCTACACTGATCTCTGCAAGGAAAATGAGGAGATGAGTTCCCCAATGAGAAAACAAACTAACAAGAAATCAAAAAAGGAAAGACTTTTTCATTAATGATTCCAGGAAGGGGTGGAGCATGATAGTGAAGAGCACAGATGCTGGGGACAAACATGAGGGTCTGAACTCCCACAGCACTGGGTAGCTTTGACACTGATATGTCAGTCAAATTCTCTGTAACTCAGTATCCGATCCATAGACTGGGGACAACAACAGCACCCGTCTCCTAGAACGGTCCTAAGAAATAAGTTATTTTA